AACAACCAGCAGATGGTAAAGGCGCAAGGCTGTTAGATACAGGAAGTGCTTCAGCCTACAAACAGACTAGGAGACTGACTCTTTGCATGAGAATATCACATGTATTGCTTTGTCATAGCTTTAAGCTCCCAATATTTCCTATCATAAAGTCCTCTGTGTGACCAATAATGTTCTGGGAAGCTAAGTACATTATATATTCCCTTTTTCTATTAGTTTTATGGAGAAAGAGCATCAAGATAACTGGATGATGTTGTTTAAGTGCAGGTCCACTATTACACTGATGAACAGATTAACAAAATAAACAATATGACACTCATTCTAACAAACCCCCACCAACAACTTTCCAACTACAGATAATGTGGCCTAGTGCTTCCTGAAACCCAAAGTGTCTGGTTGTTTGATGAAATTTGGAGAGGAAGGCAAGCAAAGCTTTGGTTTTGTTCCAAGGAAAAATCTGAATGAGTGTAATTGCAGCGTTTAGGGTGAGTCTTGGCCATAATTAGAAAGTGTGTTAAATATTCTGTTATAATTATACCTATGTGATTTTATATAGTAGGTTAGTTATATATAACTGGTAAATCTTCTACCGAAAATACCAAATTAATGGGAGGAGCTGGTAATTTAAAATGAATATTAAGTCCAGACTGAAACATCATTATAATCTAAATTGCCATTAATAGCCATAATCATATAAAGTATTTATAAGCAGTTGCATTACTCATTCTTTAAATAGGAGTGCTAGCTTTCTAATATTTTACTAATTTATATATTGACGATATCTACAGCATTGCTTTACAAAGAACACAGAGCTATTCACATCTCCTTATAACCATGAAAATAACCATTTAGCACTACTTTAGAAGACCATATCTTGTGTACGTTCGCTTGCACGGTCACAAGGGACCATGCCTCTATCCTACTCTCAAAGGGATCGCTTGGGTAGTCAGATCCAATTTTAGAAAGATTAAATCAGCAAATCATTCTAAGAATACAAATCCTGATCTGATGCAATTTTATTAATGCACAGGATTCGCCCCCATCATGAAACTGAAACTTTGAAAAGCCATTGTGATAAGCATGACCCTGTACTTTGAGAAAGCACTGTGATAAGTGTGAAATTATCATTGATATGGTGAATATTATAATAATATTTCATTGTCTTTCTCAGTGGAACTCTGGAGTAAAGTCTGTTGGTTAATAAAATTGCACAGTATCAGGTCCAACAGTGCAAAATCCATGTACTTCCTATGGTTTGCATAGAACCAGTCACATGAGTTTCCTACCTAGAGGACTTACAATTTAATGACCCTGCTACAGAAATACATAGACAAACATACACTCTAGAGTGTATGCATGATTGTCTGTGTATTTCTATCAGGACTATTCACTAAAGGGTGAAGAGTTTGGAGAAGGCAGGAGAAGTGAATAGGCCAAAAAAGTTGATTTGGAAAAATTCTCCAATTCAGCTCACTTTCCAGTTCAGCTATGTTGTCCTGGATTGTTCACTTCTCCTGCCTTCTCCAAACTCCTCACCCTTTAGTGAATAACCCTGTATGTATTTCTCTTAAGGTGCCCATACTCCTTGCGATCATCGGACAAAACTTTTCGTCCGATGATCGAACCATCATACGATTTTCATATGGCGGCCCCATCCTGCCCCGTTTATCGCAAGGTTGGATCAGCAGTAATTAAAAGAAAGCACCTGGAAAGCACGTATTTTCGTCTGCGCATGTGCAGTGTAAATCGTACGAATTTTGACGTACGGAGATGCCACCAACCTTGCGAAAATCGTCCAATTGACCGAAGTTTTCTAACCTGCTGGTTAGTCAAAAGTCGATGGATTGTACAGCATTAAGGTGTATGGATACCTTTAGTCTAGCGCCTCTGAACAAGATGGAGATAAAATTAGAATGGACAAAGATGTGACAATGTTCTGATCCAACTCTGCAGGGGGTCCGTCTAGGAATGGATTCATAATTTGAACAGCCACCTGCCACTTGTATATTAGCACCTGCTTATTAAATGTCCTAATATTGTGCTCATGCCTATGTTTTGATTCCTCATTCTCCTGTGCTCCTACAGTCCCACAGAAGTATACATTTGTTGCATCTTTTATTAAAAGGTATATTTTTCAGATTTTCTCTTTTTTAATCATTTATGCCCATTTCTAGCTGTTTATTGTGACAGTATAGACTTCTAAAACCATTTGCACATGTTTACATGTTTACACTTTTGAATCAAGCATAATAGCCAGGGCTAGCCCTATGTTTTTTGCCGCCTAAGGCGGTCATCCACGGTGGGGGAGGTTAGGGTGCAGAGAGTGTTCTCCAGGGGGAAGGGTTTGCGGTTGTGCTGATTTGTGGCAGATGTCGGACCGCACTGTCAGCTGCTCTGTCCAACGTCCCATTCAGCTCACTGATGTCACTGGTTGCCAGGAACTTGGCAGGATGCCAGCCAGAGCTTCCATGTCAGCTCCTAGCAACCGCCTCAGGCTGCTTCATTATAGAAACAGCCCTGATAATAGCATTAAAATGATGGTTCATAAATAGCAGCTATGAAATTACTATAGTTAGATTTTTTTGTATATTATTCACCTTGGTCACATGATCCACATAGTCTTCCTCCTCAACTCACTGTTCAAATTGTGGGCATGGCACTCATGATATCATAATTGCCTATTAATTGACAGCGTTACCCTTCCTCCAGTCACATGATCCAAAAAAATAAAATGATCCAAATCTTAATAAAACAGAAAAAAACACATGGAAGTACTTCTTGCTGAATGTAATTACCATATTTTATTACAAAAACACAACATTGTAATAATTAGAACGCTTGACGCATAGTATATGTATATGGACAGTGAATCAGTGTTTATGTTGATAGACTGCTCCTGTCTCAAGCATTGACATTATCTTCTATCTTTCATTTGTAAAGCTTAACTGAACAAACTGTGAGAAGCTGTTTAGTTACTATGGCCAAAAGCTCCAGATTCTGTCTACTCCAGTTTTAAAAAAATCCCCCAATTGTGTTTTTGTAATTAAATGTGGTAATTACAGTAAGCAAGTAGTGCTTCCATGTGCTTTTGTTTTACTCATTCATTAACTAATTAAATTACGTATATAACCTCTGAGAACCAAACAGGAGCACCACACTCCTGAAATTCTCAAAATATAAAAGGTAAAGCCAGGGGAGTTTTATCGGAGCCAGTTACACAACGCCGTGAATTGTTATCTTAAAAACATGACTTAATTAAATGAGATTAAAAGACCATACATAAAAGATCATTCTTAAAAAGGTAAGATTGCTTCATATTAAGAACGTACATTGAAAGCCTCCATAGAACACGCCCTCATATACTTGAGGGTGTGTTCTATGGAGGTTTTCAAAGTACTTTCCTAATATGAAGTAACCTTACCTGTTAAGAATGATCTTTTATGTATAGTCTTTTAATGTCATTTATTAAAGTCATGTTTTAAAGATAACAATTCACGGCGTTGTGTCACTGGCTCCAATAAAACTCCATTTGCTTTACTTTTTATATTTGCTCTTTCATTAAGATTTAGGTGGGGTGTTTTTATTCATGTGACTGCCGGTGACACAAGCAGAGTGCATGTTTAGCAGTGCACATTAATGATTGTCACATGGGTCACATTACAGGGGAGAGAGAAAGGAGCCATCCTATGTCCTTGGAACAAAACCAAGATCGAGAAAGTTCTGGGAGAAAGTGTTTCTCTACCGGGCGGCCAGGAGCCGCTATCTAATAGCGGGGGACTCCTAGAGCGTCCGGGAGAGTTGGGCTGTCTGAAGATCAGTGTCCCTGGTTACGTGGTAACCAGGGACGCTGATCTGTCTGTGCAAGTGGTCGGAGCCAGCCGTGAGATGACGGCTTGCTCCGCCCAGCAGTCAGTAGCAGGCAGTCGGTCGGCCGGCCAACGGATGGCTGTCCGGCCAGCTTCGGCTTTCACCTCGGCTCAGTCTAGCCAAAGCATATGCCTTCAGCTCGACTGAGCCGCTCGGCTGACTTTGGGAGCTGTACGGGCTATAGTGAATAGCCCGTACAGAAGCCCTTCTGTTCTACTGAACCGAAGGGGTCCTGGGGCCGAAGCTAGCCGAAGGATCAGCCAAAGCTACGACTAGATCCTTTGGCAGCTTAGTGAATAGACCCCTTCGTTTATGATGTAGTGCATTGGTACAGTGCATCATGTTTTATGGGAGGGGGGCATTTGAGCATGAGGACGACAAGGCTCTACGGTGATCGTGTGTATAGTTAATTGATTAAAGGTGTCCGCATCCAACCTGGACCCCAGGTAATCCGAGATCATATGGTTTAGGCGTTGCCTGTGACTGTTTCCAGTCGTGTGGAGACATCAGCTTCCACATGCTGTTGGAGTGTAGGCATTGCCTTCCAGGTGAAAATATGCTGATCCTGTCACTGTGGTACTGTACAGGCCACAAAGTCGCGGAAGGAGGCAGACTCCTCCAGCTGGAACAGAAGCATCTGTAAAGCCAGCATTTTTGCCAATTTGACATTGAAAGGCTGGGTATGGGGGTGATTAGGTAAACATTTTTTATTACTCTTAAGCAGCTGAGGAAAACACACCTGCGTTGGCTAGGGTGCTGTTGGAGATGGAAGAAAACCAGACGGAAATTTTACAAGCTGCCAAAAAATATGATGGTTAGTTTTCTCTTCATACAAGCGCTTAAGACAGTTTTACTCCATATACTAAAGAAAGTAAATATTAATTGTGTCAGAACAGAGTTTGTAGCAGAACCTTTCAATAAAACAAGTCGTGGCAGCTGACATAATAATACATTTTCCATGACACCCCCACTTTTTTTCAGCAGGAATTGCTAGAACACCTTTCTAACAGAAAGTGGGCTAGTCTTCCAATTTTCTATATAGTCCTAAATGAACGTAATACCTAATCCACTAATATATCACCACAGTGCAACTAGCCTGTACATCTCATTATAAATGTCCCATCTGTTTTCCCTAGGTATGAAGATGAGTTTAATACACGCACAGACATGGAATATGCATTTGTAGACCTAAAGAAGGTAAGAGCGAAAAAGCGCACCGTATGTCATTTCTCTTATAAAGGTTTTGTCATTGCCAAAGTCTCTCTAAACCATATTATACGTATGGCTCCCATTAACACTTGAGCATTATTCAGCTTGTTTCCTTACATTTTTGGCCCCGTAGATTTCGATGGGTGTGCCTGTAAACTCACCAAACATATGTTTACGTGTTTTTGCACCTGAAAGAACTGTTCTCCTCTTCTAGAACTGCTCACCTTCAATTCTCCAGCCCAGTAAACAAACACGGAGGATTCTGCGCTTGCTTTTCTAGATGTGGAGGTATTTATTCATAAGGGTAGAAACCACCCTAACTTATAGGATGCTAGGGATACCTACTACAAGAACAGATACAAGAGGAAGGGGTCCTGGGACGAAATTTGCAGCTGCTAAGAATACAAATGGCCTAACATGCATAGCTCTAGACTTAGAGGAAGACAACAGCTCGCCTCACTGCTAAACCATGAAGAAAGATAGAAGGCAGTTGAGTAGATATGATGTCACCGATACAAAAACATTTGTAAAAGCTTGAAAACGCTTTTAAAATATGCATGTACACAATAACTGCTGAAATATGCTCTGCTCGGGCTTAATGCAAGGTCTGGGAGGGATGTCCATGGCAAAGAGATTAGAGTGAGAGAATAGGATTACTTGCTAAGAATACCATTTGATTGCTTTGGGCAAAATCTCATGTTACCTTTTTCAACTTTAACTGGACATGCTGTAGAGGTTTTAAAATGTAAAGGGGGGAAAAACTGGACGAAATCGAAGGTATAAAACTACCCCATCTATAGCAAATGGCCAAACATTCCATGTAGGTGCAACGCACCCATATTGACAAGGTAACTACAGAAATGGTCACTTGAGAGGCAAATGTAAATGCTGATGAGGCTTCATACATTTGTGTTTTCCATTCTTCCGAAATGATAGCTAGTGGATGATTACAGTCAGCAGCAGCTTTTGGCAAAAAGACAAAAGCAGACTAGCTACATATCAGTGGCGTCACAAGGGGGGTGCGGCCCGCACCCGGGTGACACCATTGGAGGGGTGACACCAAAATGACTCACACTCATTTTGGTGTCCCCCCCCTCTGAAAAGTCGGGCGCTCGGTCATGGACCGAACGCCCGACAGTATCAGGAGAGAGGAGGGGACCCGGCGGCATACCTTATCCCGCCGGGTGACTGTCCCCTCCGCTCTTTGCCGGCGTCCATCACCAAGATGGCCGCCGGCAGGTATCAGAATACTGCCACGCGATGACGTAATTGCGCACGCACGTGGTGACGTCACGCGAATGCGCAGTGACGTATCGGCGGGGTGACACTCGGTTACCGCTCCGGGTGTCATTCAGCCTCGGGATGCCCCTGCTACATATGTATGTGCACTGACATGCCTTGTTCGCAGGATTACTGGACACCGGTGGTGCAAATCAAGGCTCAAACTGGTTCAATCAAATAAGTTTGGTGAATTGCATGTTTTTTTTAGAGAATTGTGACTCTTCTGTTACTTGATGAGGATGAGTGGATGATTAGGTAGGTGCAGCCTGTAACCTGTAGCAGAAGGTTCTTAGCTATTTTTAGCTTCTGAGCCACAAGGCTAGGTTCACACTTGGGCGATTTGTGACGCAGCTAAACTGACTGCAGAAAAAACATCTAAACGCAATGGGTGAATAGATCCATTGGAAATCATTAGATGCATATACTGTATAATATGATCATAAAATAATTCTGAATGTAAATATATAAATTCATCTAAATGCACCTAGTGTGAATGTAGCCTTAAAAAGCAGAAATTTGCACAGCGATTTCAGAGCATTCTGAAAGCAGACTGGAATTGTGGGGGAGCAAAGGGAAAATATGCACACCTTCTCAAAGCTATCTCGTGTCTAGTATGGACAAAGCACAGGTTCACTTTAAATTTCTCCTGCTCTTAAAATTCCCTCAAACTTTTTTATATTTATCCATGATTTTATATTAAATCCTCATTTATGATTCAGTGTGTGAATAATGTTATACCAGCAAAGGTGGTTGACTAAATATAAAGGTCAAGAGCAATTCAAGCGTAGCCAAACCCAAGAACAAAACTATAATAAATAGCAGTTTATCATTCCTTAGGTGTGGTGGCTATACCTTGGTCTGAGGCTTTTTCCTCCTTCATTTTCCATGGTGAGCCTGCTACTAACACACTTTCTTCCGAGGGTGACAACACTCACTTACTGTATTGTATCTATGGAGGAGCATTGTTGTTTTCTTAGAACAGGAAGTGTGTTGCTGGCAGGGTTACTACAGGACACCTCTCCCTCTCCTCATTACCATAACATAGGGGAGGTGTTCCGTACTTCACAGAGATGAACTGGGCAGGTCTGATTACATGCTTGCGATAACACAGCAGGGTGCACAGGAATTTACAAGCTCACTGGATATCTGGCAAGACTAACAAGTCTTTTTTTTTTGCACTTATTGAACAAATGTAAAACACTTTCAATGCTATGACCATGGCTAATAACAAAACTGTAAAGGGCTCATGACATTGCTTGGGATTTCAATACAGCACAGGCAGAATGCACAGGAAGTTAGCAGCTCACTTGATTTCTGGCAGGAGCAACATTTATTTTTCTGCATTTGCAGAATTTTAAAAAGACAAACCATGGGAAAATATTCATGTGTTGTAGAGAAAAAACTCTTGTTTTTTAACAGGTAGATTTTTTTTCTTTTAATTTTGGCTGTACGTCCAATTTAGCAGAAACTAGGCAGTTTTAAAAGCCAAATAATGTTTTTACTAATAATAGAAAATGCAAAATGTAGAATTAATACAACTTCAGTTCTTAGCACCTTGAGCAAGGCTGCTTCAAGCCACACCGAAGAAAGCTGCAATCAACAAGTGACTATTAAACTGACAATCTGCACTGACATACAAAGCATATAAAAGATGTATCATTGCGCTGTATGTCTCATTACACTGCCAATACTATTGCGATATTATAGCATTAATACAGACAATGCTGTAAAACCTGATTAACCAGTCACTGCTGGCAAATGGGCTGTCTGAGTACCAGAAAACGTTTACACAGAGTAGCCAATGTACTGATTATAAGGACATAGGGAGGGACTGGCACAAACCGATCTTTTGTTCCCAGTTTCTTCTCTCAAGTCCTCGATTCACTTTAACAGAGCTCTTTTAAACCCCCTTAAAGAAGCTGAAACTCACTATAATTCTGTAACTGAACCCATAGAATTTTTCAATGTGTCACGTACGTATAGAAGAGTATGACTGCCTTGGTACAGGAACTGGCGAATGGAACTCAGGAGCAATAGTATCAGGTGTTCAGGAACACAGCTGGTAATACACTGAGGATACACTAGGTTCAGATACAGGCAGAATTGGTCAGAGGCTGGGTCAGGAAAAGATGAGCGTTGAAGCACCAAATTGAAAGCACAATCAAGGTTGTAACAGACAGACACAGGTCAATAACATGCAAGCAGTGAGATACAGTATCTTGGTCAGAAGACCAAGCTGAAGTAAGTAACAAAGATAATCAGAAACCATTCACAGACAAAGAAAATTCAAGGTAGGTCAATAACTACAGTCAAGCACTGTGACGACATGGTGATCAGTTTATAAGTTAAATGTGTATTGGGGTTGAGTTATGTTTGAGTGCGTTATGCTGTGTGACCTGGTTAGGGAAAGACTATCAGCACCATCCCTCGTTATCTCCCATTGTTCTCTGAGGGAGCTCAGAACAATGACATTCTGGCCAGGCTCCTGCTATGGCCGTCTGGAGCTCGTTAGCAGGTGGACACCTGTGGTGTTGAGCAGACCGATGGTCTGGGAGGGGAGGGGGGATGTGATGGGATTATATTCTGATTTCCTCACTTGCTGTATATAAGTTTGTGCAGTTGCTCAATAAATGAGAGTTTGTGTACCCTACACTCAAGCCTTGGCTAGTGACTGGGGAAACTGGGAGCTACAGATCAGCGGGTTCCAATATCTCCTCAGCAAGGAAGAAGACAGCGGCGGACATACTCATCCTGAGTACGGGGGTCCGTCACAAGCACAAGTTCAGGATCAGAGATCATTTACACCTCACAGGAATACAAATAAAAGACCATGGGGAGCCATGTACTGGTATACGTGCGTGTGTAGGTGCTCAGGCCACCTGGATAAATCAACTTCTCCTATAACATCATTGCCAGGTCAGGTCAAAATTGTTTACTAGTGTAGCGCTCACCCCTGAAGGAGCTGCCAGAATAACCCGAGTTATCAATAGTTGTCTAGAGAATTTGGTCTTTAGCTGCCCCATTAGCATTTAACTGCCCACAAAGCTGATATCCACTCCGGTGATGAAATGCTGAATAACGTTTATTAACATCTTCACAATGGGGAGAGAGGGTATAGGGGTCCTAGACATCCAGGGTAGTACAGACATGGACTCTAGACTCACCAGACCTTTTTAGTATCTCAGTGCAGATCCACTTGTAGTACAGCAAATAGTAAATTTGAGTAGCAGATGAGCAGGGAATGAACACAAATCCTCAGCAGGAGAGACACCAGCCATGCTCCTAAGGGCCAATAGGTTCCAGTTACCACCAGCAGCCATCAGCTCCCCTGGTTCTCCTCCTCTGTACGGAATAAATGTCAGTCAAAGTACTGCAGCGCTGAACACTGAAAAATGGCCTGGCCAGGTAGGGGGATCTAAACACCTGGTCTTCAAGCAGTTAAATAATGCCACAGGCGCCTTTCCTGCACAGGGTCCTCAAAACAACGTTTCTTAGTATGAACCACCACACCACCACCTAGTTTTCCAAAAAAGTCAGAACTTCAGATTTTCATTCTTTTTATGTGTCAGTGACTCAGAAATAATCAGCATCCTATTTATTTAGTAGAATCCCCATGCAACAACACAAAGAGCTATCCCCTCACTATCCCCCATTATTGAGCCCTGTATTTCAAAGATCACAGGTAGTCAACTCAGTGAGGATCCCAG